CTTCAATTTGAACTGGCATAAATACCTGTAAGGAAGAGACATCCCCATAGCTTCAATTGCAGAAGCCATGGTATTGGCAGTGTACATTCCACCACAAGCCCCAGCACCAGGACATGAGTTGCGGATAACATTTTGCCTCTGCTCATCACTAATAGATCCACTCACAAATTCTCCATAACACTACAGATAAATAAAGAATTAGTAAAGTATGCCTGTGCGTTCTTTTTTTTTTTTTTTTTTTAATTTTTATTTTGGAGGTCAACTTATAGCTAAATTAGATTTCTGCAGACGTAATTTAAATACAGGGAAAAGGATGGATGTTTCAATAGCAACGAGTCATTTACCTGAAAGGCAGACACTATGTCATACGTATTGCCCTGAAAATGACCAGGCTGCAAAAGAAATAACAAAGGTAAAAAACTTATAAACTGCATTCCAAAGAACCGCATTATGATTTTCATTAAACAGAGTTAAAGTTCAAAGCTGACTGACGCATTGTTAAACATGATTGGAACATACAACTAATAATAATTTGAAATTAATTACAAGAATAGCCCTCTCAGAAGCCAAAGCCTTGTGTCCTACCTTAATAGTACCACCATAAATCATTATACTTGGACGGTTGAGGCGGCCCATTGCCATAATTGTACCTGGCATCTGAAAATTTACAACATATACTCAATTGGATGAAAGCAACTATAATACCACATAGCTAAATGTTCAAAATAAATTTAGTGAGACAAAGCGTAGACATCTTTACAAGAAACAATAACAATAACAGATTCAGAAGGCAAATTTGTCACAATTTAACGGCAGCATCACAGCACGGAATTAATAACTGTTAATGATTTGAGAAATGCCTTCCTTAAACACAACGAAACAAGCCACCACCAGCAGATTCTGAACTTATAGGAAACATAGGATTAAAACTTTCAGTTACTCCCTGTAATAGAACGACGGATCCATCCATGGATTGGAAAGCCACACAACTTTTCCCACCGAGAAGATTGATGAAGACAAATATTAAACTGAAAATATCACAATCGAGACATAATAGCGGTGCAAGACGAGGTTCCACGGAAAAGGTAAAGAGCACTCAGATGCCGACAAGTAAACTTTACTAACATGATCGATTTAACACTTAGTTTAAATGACTAAATACGCCAAGTAGGCCAAGCAATAGAAATCTTACAATCGAAATTTAAAAAATTCAGAACTGCGAGAAAATGTCTTACATTTTTGTCACAACCAGGGATGGAGATGTTCCCATCATACCACTGTGCACCCATGACAGTCTCAATACTATCCGCAATGAGGTCCCTAGACTGCAAGCTGTAGCACATACCTCTTGTCCCCATAGAAATGGCATCACTGACCCCAATGGTGTTGAACCTGAACCCGATCATGCCAGCATCTTGCACCCCTTCTTTAACCGCTTCTGAAAGCCTCAAAAGGTGCATGTTGCAGGTGTTCCCCTCATACCACACTGATGATATACCAATTTGAGGCTTATCCATGTCATCTTCTGAGAGGCCCACCCCATGGAGCACTGCCTGAGATCCACCTTGCGACTTAGGCTCTGTTATGCAGGAACTGAACCTGTTGAGCTTCTGGGCAGGAGTGGATTTAGGTGGAGAGTCCACAGGGACAGATGGTGATTGTACTGACTCTGCTCTGACAGATAAGTGGTGGGGGCGAGCAGATTGACATCTACGAAGAGGTGTTAGTGGCTTCGACTTAGTTGGGGCTGCCGGAGAGAAGGGGACGAATAGTGTGGACTGCATGGTTATGGCAAGCAATGAAGAGCTGCAGGTGGAATCCAAGCCTCTTAGGGTTCATGAGACACATTATATTATATTAAAAACAAATTAAATTCTTTTAAAAAAAAAAAAAGGTAGAGTGCTCAAATCAAACATCCTCATCGCAGGTACAGAAAAGTCCCAAATGGGGGGGGGGGAATGACACTCGAGTTTAGACCCATATGAGTCAACATTGATATTGTAAGTCCTGCATTTTGCAACAACTAAATGAACTCCTCACCTAAACATCTTTATCAAACAAAACCAGTGCTTAGCCCAAAAAGAAAAACAACAAAACCAAAATTTCTTTTTTACCATGCTTCTAAATACTATAAGGCTCACGTAGAGTTCCACATGCTAATTTTTATGTTCAAAATCATTGTCATTCTTTTCTTTTTTATCCTACTCTTTTCTATAGGGCCTGAAGCTCTGAGTACTCAGAGCAAATATCCAACTGGCTTTGAAAGAAAATCTCCACAAAATAAAGTAACACAGTCAGAAATCTGTATAGATTCAACACCCAAGCACATAATCAGGACTTTCATCAAACATCTAGAGTGTAGTAAGTAAAAGGGTCAATAACTTAGTCTGAACCCCAAACCCAAAGCCTGCGCGTTAGATTAGGTGGAAAATTTCAAAGTGTTAACAACTAGGGAGGTACAAAAAATGGAGATGCTCGTTAGTCTAGACTGAGATGGAGATCGAAGCAATAACAGTGCTTAACCTCTGCGGGCGAAGGCACACGCGTGACGCGCCCTGCTGCACTTCTTAGAAAGTGGCTCCGGCGGCGAAAGAAAGAGGAAGTTTGAAAAGAATAGAGACAGTGATGTATTGAAATGCTCTTTACAAGTCGGGTCACGGCTTTTAATCTTTATCTAAAATAAAAATATTGTTTCCATATTACTCACGCGGTTTTTTGAAAATAGACAACAATTATTATTCTTCTATTATCTCTAAATATAATAATAATTATCAATTGTCTTAAATTTTTTAAATTTTTTATTTTATTTTCATTAATTATTTATTTTAATATTTAATATATTTATTGTTTTATTTTTCAAACTATATCTTTTTTCCGTTACATATTTTCTCTTTCATAATTCTTTTATTATAATAATTTTTTATTTTCTTTTTATACTCTTTTCTCATGAATAAGAGTATTTTAGAAAAAAAACTTATAATTTTTACCTATTTATTATCTTTAATTAACTTTTTGATTTGTGTAATTGAGTCCTATATTAATTATAATAAGAGACGGAAGCAGCAGTAACAAGGCCAACAAGAATTCGTACACGCAAGCATAAAAAAAAAAACCAATCGGAATTCATAGTCAAACAAAAAACCAATTGGAATTGGTGGCACCAAAAAAAATAATTGGAATTCAAAATGCAATTTTTTTAACATTTTGTGCGTGTTCATCTTTTTCCTTAAAAAATTAAAGCATGCTGCCAGTGATTACTGACATTTAAATATTTATATACTATTATAATATCATACAAACATACTTTTTATTTGTACAGTTTTCAAATTAGCTTTTTATTTTTCGCGTGGTAATAGGCTAAGAAATAAACAGGTGTTTATATTTTAACACGTACAAGAATAATTAACAAATAACAAATGGTAAAAGTAACAAGTTGTTATTAGAATACTTATTATACATTTGTTGCATGAGTAATAAATATTGAAATAAAATATATACAGAAGTAATAAAAATTGTTAATTTGTCCTAATGAAAAAGTAGTTAATAAATAAGAGAAAACCATTTTGTAGATACATAAAGTTTTTCTCAAGTTTTAGTTTGGTACTTGTGTTTGTTTTTTACTCTTAATTAAACACTCTAATTTTACTCTATTAGCGTCGCTAACTTTTACTACATCTGATCCTTAATATAAAATCTTGTTTAACTTTTATTTTAGTTCTAAACATAAGACTCTAATCTATTTTGTCCATCATATTTATATATATTTTTTCAAAATAGTCCTTCTAACAATAATAATTCTAACCTATACACTTGATTAGCAATGATATTTTAAAAAAAACAATACATATTTATTATAAATAACTAATTTAACTTCTTTTCTTAATCTCCTCAAATTAGTCAACTAGCTCTTATAATTAGAACAAGAGGTAGTATAATTTTATTCTATTTATTAGCACTGTTAGCCTCTATACAAAAGTTAATTATGCTAACAGAATAAGATTATAGTGTTTAATTGATGAGAAAAAAAAATACATGGGCACCATATTAAAAATTGAGGAAAACTTCATGTATCTGCAAATAATTTATAAAACATCAAAACACCGGGCATACAAGGTAATAATTTTTGGAATAAAATATGTGCATGGTTAATCACCAAACAGGATGGCTTGCTCTGCTTGATTGGGCATGATCATCCGAGGGGTAACACCTACTGTTATTTAATCTGCCGCCAATCTGCAGGAATTTCCCACGCAATTCCCTGCCCAATGTGCTGTAGTCTGACTAGTTGACTGGTTGAGACTTCCAATGACCAAGCTATGTGCTTAAAAACCATTAATCCTGATCACGATTAATCCTTGGGCCATTTTTTTTTCCTCCCAATAGGGCAGACTCCTTCCATCAGAATATTACAAATACGTCCCCAGCTTTAGTGCCACAAATAGTCCAGATATACACATGTTAAATTAAAGGCACATATATCATTCATTTTTTACTGGCTAGCATCATGATCTTTCCCCCCCCCCCCATACGCAGCATCATGATCGTTGTTAATCCTAAGTATATACGACAGTTGATATTAAAAGTAAGGTTAGAGTATGCGGAAAGAAAAAGGAATGCAAGTAGGAACAGGAAAGGTAGATGAATATGAAATAAAAAGTGGCAGTAACAACAAAGGAAAGAGCCAACTCTGATTTGAACAATCTTGACTCATTCAAGCTTTGATATCAAGGTGGTTGAGATCTAGTTCTCAGTTTGCAAGATGCAAAGCCAAATTCATTTAATTCTCTCAACGAGAGAAAAGAAAGGAAAAGGTGGAGGTTAAACAAGGTTTGGAAAGGAATAGCTTGCTTTCTATATTGGAGCAGTTGATAATTACTGTCATTCTACCTTACTAGGAGCAACACATGAAAAGTGTTGATGCTTCTCCCCAACTCTCCACCTTGAAAACAGGCCAAAGATGTGTGAGCAACAAAAGTTTCTATCTAAAACCTCCCCTAATTGTTGCATCATGCCTGTTCCATGCAATACAAGAATCTAACCTTTCTAAGCAACTTGTACCATCTCTCCTCGCACATCTGAGATCTCATTATAAGATCCCCAATAAAATATTTCAGCAGCAGAAGTCCGATCATGAAGAAAATCATGATTGAGAAACAACCATCTCTCGAGAATTTTAATGATGCGTCAAGCAGCACTGGCCTCTCCTCAGATGACAAGGAGATTGACTGCACCAATGCAATATCAAAGCAGCAATACATCTTGGTGAAAAACTCTGCTTTTCATAGTTCGCTCATCAGACTTGACCTAAATTATGCTCGCACGGTGAGAGAATAGCCATTATTAGCCTGCAATTTGAAATATTGATGAACTTGGGAAATATAAGTTCTTCTGAAATGCAGGCCGTGGCAGAGATGGTGGGTACTTTCATTCTCATGTTCTGTGTATGTGGAATCATTGCAAGCACGCAGTCGCAGAATGGAGAAGTGGGCCTCCTGGAGTATGCAGCTACGGCAGGATTAACAGTGGTTGTTGTAATCTTCTCAATTGGGCCAATCTCTTGTGCTCATGTTAACCCGGCCGCCACAATAGCTTTTGCAACGTTTGGTCAATTTCCATGGCTGAAGGTCCTCAAGAAGAAACAAAAGCACGGTCATTTGTACACTTCAGGCACCATTGTTATAGTAGTTAATAATTTCATATCTTTCTCCTTCCCTGTTGAACAGGTTCCAGTTTACATACTAGCACAAACAGTGGGTTCTGTGTTGGCAACATATATTGGCAGCCTCGTCTATGGGATTAAATCAGAAGCCATGATGACAAGGCCAATCCAAGGGCCTGTCTCAGCCTTCTGGGTGGAGCTGATTGCAACTTTCATCATAATGTTCCTTGCTGCAGCCCTGACAAGTGAATTTCAATCAGTAAGGAATTAGAGTCCTCCTTCATACTGTATCAACCATGCCCCAGAATTCCAAATTTCAATTAAGATTGTGTTTGGATGGAAATATTCGAAAATCCCTGAAATTTCAAAATCCAAAGAATTAAATTTCATGCAATTCAAGTTCCGCCGCATGACAAATTATTTGATAGGATAGTTATTCATTCTGCCGAAGGTCGCAACTTTATATTCTTGTTTTAGTTTTGAACCATATATAGGCTAAACAACTCACAGGTAAAATTGTATCCTTTGCATTCAAGCGTTAGCAGAAGTGATGCAAAAGAATGTAGTCTGTGTTTCGCTTTTATGAGTATAGAATATCACGTTAAATTGAGAATTCTGATTCAAGTCCAGTCCGACGAGTAGGGCTGAGATTTAGGTTTCAGGTCCACGTTAAAGTTCCAAATAGTAGTGCACTAGCCACGGCGAAGAAAAGCAATTTATCTGGGTTAAAACTCTGCATTTTGCAGGTGGGTCATTTATCCGGTTTTGTTGTTGGAATTGCCATTGGACTTGCAGTGTTGATCACCGGGTATCATCTACAATCTCCATAGATTTTTTACAGACCGTATAGGTTTGTCTCCTGAAATAACTGGTGTGGATTTTGTTGCAGACCTGTTTCGGGGGGATCAATGAATCCTGCAAGATCATTAGGCCCCGCAATCCTGTCATGGAAATTCAAGGACATATGGATATACATCACAGCCCCCATAAGTGGAGCTGTGGCAGGTGTTCTATTGTTTCGTTTTTTGCGTCTCAAGCACCAACCGTGCACCACTTTCTCCTCTCCAGCCGCAACTCACGACGGCCATTCCGTAACCTTGTACCCAAGTTAGCATGCCAAGGAATCGCGGAATCAGCGGCAACATCGTCGATTGGCTTGAGTGGTTGAATTCTTGATAGTCGTTTTCTGTGTTTCTCATTTTTCCTAGGGAGGAGTGGACCCATGATTTTATCGGGACAGAGAAAACGGAGGTTATTCTCCATGAGAATCTTAGCACCAGAAGAAATATCAGAGACAATTTATCATAAAGTTATCATCCCAATCATAAGCTCTCAAAAATAAAGGGACGGTCAAAACAGTGAAGTGATTTGTTGTATTTTATGCATATGAATGTGTTGATCATGAGCACAGCTCACGTTTTCAGAGCATTTTGAGAATGATGCGGTGCACGTCAATGCCTTGGCTACAAAGGTTAAGAAAATAAATTAATTAAAATACCTTTATATTTCAAAAGTAATGATAGATGACTTGGGCCAACCTAGCCCTAAGGCCCAGCTCAGTGATTCCGTCTGAGACTGAAATCCAGCTCCTTATTTGACCATAATTCTTCTTTCTAAATAATTCAGTGGGTTTGGGTTATGATGAGCACTTCTCGCATCCTACTAGCCTTCCTTATAATTTATTTATTATTTAAGCAAATAAAATGAGTTATTCTCTACCTATCTTATCTTGTTTGTAGTGATAAGGTTTGGAAAGTGAGATTGGCCAAAAAAAAAGAAAGTGAGAAATTCCTTCATAAGCGAATTTTCCAGAGTCGATAATTGACGTGCCTTGATAATATCTGAAACGCGTGGCTGAAGTTGATTCTTCATTCCACGCATCTCTTTTTTTTTTTTTTGGCCCCCTGAAACCTGTTTATTTATATTTGTCTGGTTTGGATGGTGGGCCTCCAAGAATCCGAAGCTTTTTGAGATTCCCCCCCCCCAAGTTGTGTGTCTCCAAACACGTCCCTGAATCCACACGCACACTATTAGTGAGGAGGACCGATTCCAGTGGAATCGGAACCGTCTTTTTAAAGCCTGAAAGCTCCGCGTGTGAACTGAATCCAAATTTAAACATGGGTGTGGTCTTTAATTCTTAAATTAATCAGTCCGAGATGTTTACGTGGGATTTGTTTATCGACGATCTCATCCCCGTTGCTTTTTCTGCCTTCATTTTCACTCACAAAATTAGTCTATTCATATTTCTTTTTAATGGTTGCAGATTGTGAACGAAATGTGAAGCAACTGAAAAACACACTCGCAATTTGCGACAGTGATGGATGAAAATCAACACTTAAACCGACACAGAGGGAGAATAATTTAAACATATTTATTATAATTGAGTTGAAGTCTTCATGGTTGATAGTATCTATGATCTTGAAGGCATCCAATCAACAAAGAGATTTGTGGGCATCACTAGAAAATATAATCACAAAAGCAAAACTCATGGGATTGGTTTGTAATCGTAAGCCACAAAATTATCTGGAGGAATCATTTTAAAGACCAATACTACATCATAATACTAGTCTGAATTTTTTTTTCTCCTCTATTTCCTGTAATAGCATCAAAAATTAAATAAAAAGTCCCATTCGCGAGAAAATAATCCCATTAACTTACAATTAATTTTGCGTGTTATTATTAATGGACCGCGTCAATGGTCGAACAAACAACCGAACCTTCCCTATGTATCCCATTCAACAGACAATTTATGTAATGTTTGTTTCTTGTCGTGAATGGCATGTTGATTTATAAACATACAAAAATACATACATTCATTCGAGGAGAGTTCGTTTCAGGTTAAATAAATAAATTAATAAATAATCGAGAATACAGGAAATAAGAACGGAAAGGTCAGCCGTCAACTCTTTTGAGTAAAGAAACAATACGATTAGATTAGCTCGTTTATAAATCATAGTTGATTGATAATTGAAGATTGACGAGGTGTGGAACAAAGAAAACGTCCGATTAACGAGGAAATATATGAAATTATGGATGGTTGTTGAGTCTGAAAAGCAGAAAGAAATTCTGCTACCAAAATATGTAAGGGTGGGAGGACGATCGAACGGTGGCTGTGTTCCGCAGAGGCTGGAAGGACAGCAACATGGGCTCGTTTATTAAATATTGGGTCCAATGTTTCACTTTCAAAACAACGTATCAGAACAAAAGAAAACCAACATGAGTGGACCTAATTCCAACTTCCAAGTGTGTTGTTAGCGATGCAATTAAAGTTAGTGATAGTTTGTTTCATATACATTGTTTAAATTAAAATAGGAGGTCACTTTAAGTCCTTTGTTTTGGAATAACGGGCGATTCAAAGGACTCGTGTTGGAATGCTTTAGTATCTGCACTGCCTTTGAATCTGAGCGTTGAATACATGAATCCCTTTTTTTCCCTTGCTTTGGGTGCTTTTATTCCCCCCCCCCCCAATGTGCATATAAACTCGCTTTTGATAGGATACCTAATTTAAGAAAATTAAAAAAATTAGTTAAGTTAACTATGAGTAATAGTTTTTGTGCACTACTCTTTCTAATCATGTTTATTGGAGCTATGTTTTTGTGGGAGCACCTTACAATCAATAAAAATATTTTTGAGAAAATATTATAAATTCGAAAGGTAAAGTGAATCAAAGTCTTATATTTATGACAAAATCTAATCCCTAACTAGCTTTTATATTAAGAACCGAAAGTAATATCATTTTGGAAAATTTGGTAAAAAATTTCTGTTTGAAAATTTAATTAGTTAAAAGGACCTGGATTTGAGATATTGCAAGTATGATCTCTGAGTATGACATATCTTTCGCTGTGTGTAACATATAATCAATGATACACAATAATCATCAATACGGAAGTTATTTGCATACAGCGAAAGATACGTCGTACTCCCAGATCATACTTGTACACGCTTAAATTTAAGTTTTTTTAACGAATTAAATTTTTAAATACATTTCCCTATCATTTTCTTTCATTTTCATGCGCGTGTGCGTGTGCGAGTGCGTGTCAAAAGCAAGACGAGGAAATTAATAATTTGATGCTGTCAAAAGCTGTTGTTCTTGTCTTAACTGGGTTGGGGATATACATTATTGTCTACATCATTCTACATATTTGTAGAAACTACATATGTGAGTCGTCTCTGTACTGTGGTGATTTTAAGATATGAATATTCATGGCCACATTTGTCATCCATTTTTAATTCGTCGCTAGTATAGTTCGACTGACGGTTGAGATGGAGTTGCATGAATTATAAGAATTGAATAAATGAATGAAGCGTGGATGATGTTAATTTAAAATAGAATAAACCTTTTTTTTTATGAATTTTGGTGGCTTTATCAAAGAAAACGCACTCTCAATTCGATTGAAGCTACTATGTATGTGCTGAAGAGCAAGTGGTACATTGACTTTAGGTAAGGAAGTAAAATTACATGCCACTGTGAGGAATGAGAATGATATATTTTGGCCCCAGAAAGGGAGAGGAGAGAGCCAGACGCCGGGGGCTGGAGCTGGAACCTGGCTTCCACATTATGGGAGCTTTTGTCTTCTCCTATCTCTCTCGCTCGCTCTCAACCATTTACGACCCGTGGCTGCTTCTTATTACTTCTGATCCACAATATAAAAACTCATTTGATTTTATTTTGATCATAATTATAAAATTTTTTTTTTCTCATATTCATTTATTTTTTAATATAGTTCTTGTAATAATAATAGTTCTAGTCAATATACTTAATTAGTAATGATATTTTAGAAAAGACAATACATATTTATTACAGATAACTAACTTAAAGAGTTTTTTTAATCTATTAAATTAGTCAACTAACTTTTATATTAAAGATTGGAGGTAATATTATTTATAACCCATAATGTTAAATATCATATATCGTCTGAATTTAATTCAGCTAAACTCTATTCCCAAAAAGCTCATTCATTCGTCTCTCACTTCAAATCCTAATAGAATATGTGGGAAAATATCAAAATAATGACGACGGCGTTGCGGAGAATCAATGAAACGCATGAAGAAATTTTTTTTTTTTTTTAAACACATCACGGCTTTTCATTTCCCAGTGTCTCGTATGGTCTCGTAAATGGGAGATTTGTAAATATTACTAGCAAATTAATTCCTTACCAGGTGCTAACACACACAACACGAATGCCTTATAGATTATTGTTGTAGCCTTATTCTAGCATAATAATCTAAAATTCAATAAAAATTGGTTATTTGTCCAGAATTATTTTTATTTTTATCAATATCTAATATCACCAGTCTCTTACCTTCCTTTACCGAATACACATATACTTCATCAACCATAATAAGGTAAAAGAGAAAATAAAAATATTAAGGAAGATAATTTCGGTATTTAAAAAAAATGTCATATTTTTTTATAATTACTTAACTTATTTAATTTTTTTTAATCTAATCTAATTAATTAAATAGATCTTATATTAAGAACCAGAAAAGCATATGATTTATAAATCAAGTATTTTTTGAAAGAGTATAAATTAAGTATTTATAACCCATCACTTCTTAAACTGGAGGCCAACCCATTATAATTGCGTGGTGGAAACGGCGTTCCGAGCGAATGGACCCACCGTGATGGCTATGTATTTTGTAAATTTTCAATTTCTGGTTTGGACTAACGTCGGAAAAGATTCATCCTAATTCCTGCCAGTGACAGTGGTGACGTTTATTTTCTGGGTTTAATCAAGCTGAACCCCAGAACACATACAAGTCTATTCTAGTACATTATCTCACCCGCTGCACAAATAATAAAACCCAGCAACACCGAACTAAGCAATACTATATTTATACATAATGTAAACAATGCAACATACGTGAATTTGATGGGCATGCGCCAATGAGAGACCACGATATAAAGTTTGTCTTCTTTTTTTTTTTAAGTAAGTATAAAAACAGATCATATACATAATTTTTAATATAAAAACTAGATAATTAATTTATATATATAGAAAAAAATAAGTTAAATAACCTATTGATAACATATATGTATTGGTTTTACTGCACTATCTTTTTTGTTTATATGCATTAGAACAACCTCATTATGAAAGCTCCTTAATATAAATAGATATACTTTGAAAAAACTTATAAATTTAGAGAAACAAAATGAATTGGAGTTTTATATGTGAGACAAAAATAAATCTCTTATTTAATTCTTATATTTAAGACCAGATGCAGTCTTTACCAAAAAGGAAAAAGAAAACAAATGAGAATGGTTGGTTAAAAAATAAAACAGGATCAATATACCCATAAATTTTGAATCTAGTAGTGCTGTAGTGTGAAGGTTTCTGCTAATTAAATGCTTTTAATTCTGTTAGAGTGAAATTAAAGGATCTAATTAAGAGAGAGAAAACAAGCTAGTATGGAATTATTAAAAATTTAAGAAGCAGTCTGGGTAAAGAAGTTTTTTTTTTTCTTCAAGAAAATAAAAACAGGAATAATAAGAGAAGAGAGACAGGAAGGGAGGGCGGAGATACTGAACAGGAGAGAAGAAGAAAAACCAGGGCGAGGGGGAGGGTAAAATGGTGGGATTGGGAAGTATTATGAATCTGTGGGTGAGGGTGGAATTGGGAAAGCAAAACAATGGGCCTTTTTATCCGCAAGGAATCGGATCCACGTCAGCCTCTTCCCAATCCACGGCTCACGCTCCCCTCTGTCCTTTTCCGTCCTTCACGAGACGCACGCACACGCACCGTCGGTCAATATTTCATTGCATTGCATTGCATATCTTCGCCCAGATGAACACAGCCTACGTTGAAGGGTGTTTTATTTTCCAAGAAACAGGCAATATTGCATTCTTACGCATTAAAATAATATTATCTCTGACTACAAATAACATCTTATAATTAGAGTTGGAAACAGTATTAAATGATCAAAGTGTGACACAAAATAAAAAGCAAACAACAAGACGGAATTAATTCGGGGAAATCATAAAAAAAGACAGTTAAAATAGTAAAATTACATACATAAATCTATTTATAAAAATTGTTGTCAAAACCCATACTATTGTTATCAAAATTTATACTAATGTTATCATAGGTCTTAATTTACAATTTTTCTATTTCAGTGATTGTTTTTTTGCCATTTTCAATTCTCAATTAATTTATAAAACAAACTGGAGTTTTAAGGAAGGATGTGATCACACGTGAAGTAAAAAAAATAAAGCCAGCTTTTTCTTATTTATTTATATACTGACGCACGATATATTCGGACCCCCCATCAACCTTGTTTTGCCCAACTGGGATCCACACACAAAGACATGGACTGCTAGCAGCATTTCACTGTGATCTGCACTATTGTCATTAGCGTGGGTGCATGTTTATTATGCTCTAATCGTTCCGCCAATGTCTCGCGAATCCCGATTTATTCCCCTTTGTTTGTGGAGTACTGTTTTATGATTCCAATGCAATTGTGGGCTTCTTTACTAGAGGAGAGAAGGGAACCTTTTGCATAATGATGTGGAGATGAGCAATTAGAGAAAGGCCAAGTCAAATCTTCCAAACTCTTCGTCGCCGTCTATTATATATGCATGTATATGTTCTTATCATCATCCTAACGTTGTTCCCCACTAATTACTTCTAAAAAATTATCTCATCCATACTCACTAGTCATTCCCATCTCCGGTATATATAATTGTCATGGATGAGACTTAACCGCGTTATTATCTTCTTTCTTCTAACAGTGCGTTTGTGGAGAGAATTAGAGAGAGTATCACTGTGCTGTTTTCTCGGTCTGAATTCGAGTAATTCCACTGCTTTGGATACAGTCTTTTCTTAATTCTAAAATTAGGTTTGACGAATAATAGGTGTGCGCGGGTGGATGTTTCCTAATTCAATTCGGCCATTGAATGGAGAGATCCTTCCCTTAGGTTTTTTATTTTTGTTAAGACACCAAACAACCCTGAAAATGTACACAGTTGTGCAAGATGTTCAACGTTTATGTGTTGCTAACTCTGATTTTAAATATAAAAATTAATTTGTACTGTGATTTATATTTAAGATCAGAAGTAGTATATAAAGTGTATATCATCCGTTAATCACATCTACCTTTTTGCTAATTTTATTTAATGAGAACACAATATTTCTAATATCGCTATATTATATATTACCTTTATCGTTCTCATATCTTTTTTGGTTGGTGAATTTTTCCAATTTCCTTTCTTTTTTAATTCCAGCATATATTACTTCGATTCTAAATTATATTTTGCAAAGCATAGTACCGATAGTAATATCTAACGTTAGCAGGCTGATCGAGGAAGGTCACAGGCTATGATTGTATGAAGAGCATCCTAATAGATCAAGACTCTGAGCTCGCACGATGGTCCCGATCGACAGGATGCATCACTCATTTTTCATTACATGAGCTTGATGAGGCAGTTAATTATTAGTATAGATATTTCTTCAAATGTCCTTTTACATCTTACACTGTTATTCAAATTTAGTTATTTATTTTATCGTTTCATACTATAAGGAGGCGGGAGGGGAGAAGGAGGAGACTGCAGAGGCTTGAGAGGGAGAGGGAATCCATTCCGAAGGCGTGGCACGTAATCATGAACGTCTCCTCCATGGGGCCCACTCTCATCCACTTTTGATCCTTCGGCTATTACTCATCTTACCCCAAAGGCCAAAACACCACCTCCACCCCTCGTGGGGCCCAGCTGCAACCCGCCATCTCGTCCTTCATCAGTCACTATTCCAGAATTGTAATTTTTCATTAATTTTGGGGCGAAATTACAGATGCCCTTCCATTCATATCGTGCAATTACTAGAATGTCCTCGTCCCCTTCATCTATATAAGAAAAACACTGGGCTCTTCAGTCATCACCATTTTCAGCTCTGAACTTTTCTGGTGAGACCGGGAGATCTGTTTTTCATTTTACCCCTGTGGTAGAGAGTTCTTTTCCGTCCTTTTAGGTGTTGAGAAGATGCTGGGTGTTTTCAGCGGCTCCATCGTTTCGCCGCCCGACGAGCTTGTTGCCGCCGGCAGTCGCACGCCGTCACCCAAAATCACTTCGGCCGCACTGATGAACCGGTTCGCCCAGAGCAACCCATCTACCGTGTCGGTGCAAGTCGGAGATCACGTCCAGTTGGCTTTTTCTCACCACAACGAGTCACCGTGGCACCCCAGGTAACGTTGGCTTCCTAGTCGTTGTAGCTAGCTCGCAATCAGTCGTTTTTATCGGTCATTTTCATGGTGCTTTCACAGTAGGTGGAAATGTTTTTTCCCCCAAGCTCCTCCCTATTCCCATATATTAATGGCTCTTCCCCCTTTCTCTTGTACATCTATCTGTACACCCTTCTGGTTGCTTGTGAACCTTGAGAAACGAGAAACCTGTTTTGATTAAACTAAGAGTAAACCTCCTAATCCAGAAAATTTCTGATACAAACATAAGGGGAAGAAAATCACGCAGTCATCTGACCGTAATATAGGCAGTGATTGAGATAGGTGGTAGGCGAATCAGACGGTTGGTGGTAAATTGTTTTTTTTCCCCCCTTGCCTCCGATCCGAATTATGATATCAACTAATCACTCATGCATCGTGTTCCTCTATTCTCTCTGACGCGTATCTAGTACTTGTCTGGTCTGTTTCATTTTGAAATTCATAATTGACGATTTAATAGTAAAATATTTTACATCCTTGCTGAAATTTTCTCGGCAACCAATTTGGCTTGAAGCCACGAATGGTTTCTTTGGGGGTGATATAGCAGGGGAATACGGGGATGGTAAAAGTAGGTTGGAAAGTCGACGGCAAAAAAAGAAAAAGAGCAAGAGTAGGTGGGAAGGGTGTGCAAAATAGTGTCTCAAAATACAGAGATAGGATTGCCTGGAGAGGGAAAGAAACGAGAAAAACAGAGAGAGGGGGGGGGGGGGATTGTTTTCGTTTCCTTTGGTAAACTGGGATGTGGTGTGAGATCCAATGATCATTATTCGATAATCATAGATCCACAGGGTGAGTCTGAAATAGGGGGGACGGGGCTGCACATGGTTGGGTATTTTTGGGATTTTCGCATGAATACGTCGTCGTAGCCTCGAAAGAAAAATACTATAAATAATAGGGATTAGGGAGAGATAGGATACAGTGTTCATGCTCCGCAGGGTAATTGTGCGCATTGAGCGGCATATGTGGCAGATTATGGACGGAAATTCCACGCGGTCCCATGCATGATGTTTTGTTTTTAATTTGGTTTAACCTTAATACTACCACGGGTCTTAATTATAAGAACTAATTAATTAATTTGAGAAAATTAAAGAAAAACGTTAAGTTATTTATTTGTCATAAATAGGTGTTGTCTTTCCTAAAATACTCTTATTAATCAAATGTATTGGCTAGAACTATCATTGTTAGAAGGACTATCTTGAAAAAAATGCATAAATATTAAAGACAAAGTTGATTGGGGTCTTATATTTATCTATCATATTTATCTATTTTTTAAATATTTTTTTTATAGTAGTTGTATATGTTAAATGTTTCATCAAATGGCACATAATTATTAATAAAGGTATTTTAGAGAATACCTATTTATGTATTTATTACAAGTAACTAACTTAATTAATTTTCTTAATATATTCAAATTCGTTAATTAACTCTTATATTAAGAATGGAAAGTAGTATTTTCTTAATATAGAAACTAATTGATTAATTTTTGTAAATTAAAAAAATTAGTTAAGTTAGTTATTTATAACAAGTAGGTGTTGTTTTTTTCCTAAAATATTTTGTTAATAATGTGTATTAGTTAGAACACCTAATTGATGAAATTTTAATATGTTCAGCTATTGCAATGACTGTTTTAAGAAAAAATAGATAAATATGATAGGTAAAATAAATGGGTCTTATAAGAGTAGGTTAAATGTCATTTTGCATTCCCTTTATCTAAAATATAAAAAAAAAAAGTACTTTGAATCCCTCTTATCCACCAGAAAGTTTAATATTAATTATTTTTTGTTTTGGTAATAAGTATTAATTATATTATTTTATGTTTTTTATATTGAAATATATTTATGCTTTGGTGCACGTGGATTTTTTATCTCCTGAATAGTCTTTACAAAATATCACCGGTTGCTTTGTGGCATCTGTAAATCTGTGCTCAAAAAAGAAAGTTCCGAGTCCGACAGGATATTTTTCAAGAATTTATTCGAGATGTTTTAAAATAATTTTAATAGTATGATCGAAAGCAATCGCTATTTATTGAGGATCATCGGTCGTCAGTCCAATGTCACGAATGTTATCTGGGATTTTTTGGGCCTGGAAAACCAGATCATGTGGCTACAAACTTGGCTCCCCAGTGTTCACGTTCTGAAGTGATGAGGAACACAGTGCCTCATGAATCGTGATATCTTTGGCAATTGTTTTTTTTTTTTTATTGTGTTTATTAAAATTAAAAGAATTGTAGCAAATCATGTATATATTACTGGATTCCATCTATTAGAGAACCAAAAAACAATAAAAATTGATCCCAGAAGCGGAAAAGTCCACACGCCTCCATTGCTTTCATGGGGTGGGGTGGGACAGGGTGGTCTTGTAGTGGACATTAAATATTAACCTAAGACAATGGTGTTTGTCTTTTATCATGCTTGCTTTTTTGGACCAGAGTCCAGAAGCTGGCCACTGCCCCTGTTTGCTTGCAATTATGAGGCTTTGCTTCGCCCCGATTCCACCTCATTTTGTTGACTTCCGTTTCCCTGTTCTTTTCCTTATCTTCGTTGCTTTTATGTGGGGATAAGGTTGGCCAGACGGAAGAGAAAACTACCTGAACGGAAAAACAGAGGGATGCAAATATAGGCTAGTTGAATACGTCTACTTTTTTTTCTTTTTTTCTTTCATTAAGTGTTTGTTTGTGGGAATGTATTGCTCTAATGCAACTGTGGCATTCTAGACGTCATTTAATATCTAAATGCTGAGTTGGAAATGGCAGGTCGTTCGCCGTGAAGGACGAGGTGTTCTGTTTGTTTGAAGGAGCTCTTGATAATTTAGGCAGTTTGAGGCAACAATATGGACTCGCCAAGTCTGCCAATGAAGTGCTTTTGGTGATTGAGGCATACAAAGCTTTGCGCGATCGAGCACCCTACCCTGCCAATCACGTTGTTGGCCATCTCAGCGGAGGCTTTGCTTTCGTAGTTTTTGACAAGTCCACTTCTACTCTCTTCGTGGCTTCTGTAAGTAATCCAAACCCCTCAATTTCCCTGATCCACCCACTTGAGCTTCACTCCGTGACTGAAAACATTGTGCTTGTATGAATTTTGACAGGACCAATATGGTAAGGTTCCTCTGTATTGGGGAATAACAGCGGATGGATATGTGGCATTTGCTGATGATGCAGAATTGTTAAAAGGCGCTTGTGGCAAGTCCCTTGCTTCTTTCCCTCAAGGTGGGTTTACTTCCCCATTCTATGTTCCTCATCTCTGTTAAGTGTGCATCGTAATTCATAAGCCTTTGGGAGCTGTGGTGCAGGTTGCTATTACTACACAACAGCTGGAGGATTAAGATGCTATGAGAATCCCAAGAATAAGGTGACGGCAGTACCCGCAGCCGAAGAGGAAATTTGGGGAGCAACCTTCAAGGTAACGGGATGACCCGAGTTTTAAATACAATTGCCGGTATAGTGCTCCATACCATTTCTGTAATTCTTCATTTCCCCCCTTCCCTTCCCACTGAAACCGCAACTTATAATACTTTCTTAAAAAAGGCGCAAAATTCCCCCATAATATTGGTGTTCCCCCTTGTTCTTACCAAAGCGGTTGGGAAATCAAATGCTTGGTAGGTGGTCTTGGGTGGGGCAGATCAAGAAACCGCCGCATATTAATAAGGAAAAGGAAAAAGTGAGTCAAGTGATGGAGACTAGGATCAAGAAAGGAAGGCCTTATGTTTAACATACCAACATTTATTTGTAATTTTTAATTGCCTTGCTTGGCACGGGACCGAACTTTTAGCCGTGTGATTGTTTGAACCATGAAGTAAGTGGGGCTTCTAACGTGTGAATGTGGTGGAATGAAATATCAGGTGGAAGGGCCAGCGGTTCTTGCAGCCAGAGAGTAGAAGTCTCGTGAATCGTAAAGTGGGTTACCGAACGATGAGGTTATATTCGTAAAGATTATTAGTGGAGTGGAGCAAAGGATTTATGTGGTTATTAGGCATGCATGAGGGGCCCATGTAAATACGTAGTGAGTTACTATCACTTTAAGAATGGGTCCGGTAGGGTGGCGTATTCTGCTGGACTTTGTGTTATATAGGACTTGCTCTGTTTCCATCAATGTACAGTTTGTGCTCTTCTAATAAATTATGCACCTAGTTTGAGATTCTATGTAGTATGTAGCTTCTCTTTTCTTAATGCATTCACTGTTCAAAGCCTTTACAGCTAACAAGGCAACGAATTTTTTATCCCTTTACTTTTGAGAAGAGGTTGAAACCGTTGACACTGTTGCCAAATTTAGCCAAAACAGAATCTCTCTCCAAAAATTTAAACAGCTTACTCAAGAAATGCAATGATTTGTTGCTTAAAAGAAAAAAAAAATAAAAAAGAAGACGTGAATGTTTTGTTTATCCCTCCATTTTTGGAATTGTTATTTTTATGCATGCAAATAAAAAATAGGCTAATGAACAACCTAAATTGTAACAAAATGTAATGGAATTGTGCTAAAATTTTCTTATTTTGCACTACCTTCGATCTTAATATTAAATATAGAACTACGAGCTAAGTCTTATTAAGGACACGACTTAATATATTTGAAGTAATGTTATATATCTTGATGACTCGCCATTCAATTGACGGCTAGAATCCTTAAACGCATAGCTGATGGTTTATTGGTATTCTAAAGTAAAATAATTTGAAAATAGAGCTAAAAAATGACATTTGTCTTCTTTTACGTCAGACTAAAAGGTGTCCTTCCCAGTTTGAGATAAAACTTTATTGTTCGTTATAGATATAAATATGCAGAATGATTTTTTTTTTTTTGCCTGGAAAATATGCAGAATGATTAGTAGACTGATCCATAGATGCATAAATTAATAGTGCCGCGTTGGCAGAAAAATAAAAAGGTGCCACGTCACGTGTATATAATTATTTTTTGATAAAAGTATATAAATATTTAGATATATAGATTAATTGGTAGGAACTCATGGGCTCTATTTCTTTATCAAAGTATATTTCTAGTTCTATAACTCGAATATATGTGGGCAAAAGTAGATTAACAAGCGTGGTTGTGTCCAAAAGAAGATGCTCAGTTCTTAGGCTTTATTTGGCATACAGACATCTTATGAAGAAGATTTTTCCCCCAGTCAAACCTATGAAGATCTGGAATTGTATTGTCCTTAGAACATTCCAGAAATACGGCAAATCGACCAGTCAAGCCACAAATCTGAAACTAAATAAAACTCTTTGTGATGGCCCATTCATCGTTTAGAAAGTTAAATTATATCCAGCATTTCTTAAAAATACAAGTATGCCATAGATCATAGGAAACAACTGAAAAAAGAAAGGGAGCATTTTCGCTCCAGTAATCACAAAATAAAATACGTACACCTCACGCTACATCCCATGGCAAACTTGTACTTTTCCTAATTCCCTTTCATATTTTACCTTCTAGAGTTAATGGTTAAGCAACAGCATAACATTCACTGGTTGGTGCGTCCCTGCTCTCACATTATTGGAGGAAAGAAAAGAACCACTTCGGTATCCAAATCAATTTTCAGTTACGATTGGCCACTACTTGGGACCTAACACCGCAAAACATAGATACCACTGCTCCTATATTACCTCAAGCACGAATCGAGGAGCTGAAACATCCGAGACTCAAATAATAGATTAACTATCCCTCCCCATTCTGCTCACGCGTCCGCTATAATCTCTGAATCAAAATATCGTACAAGTTATTTTTAGCACGGAAGACCTTCCACCCACGTGCCAAATAGTCAGCAGGTGCAGAGAAAAAGTACTCAGGACAGCAGACTTGCTAAATGTAGTGAATCGCAAATCTCTCTTCATCAAAATAAAACATGTTCATGTTAAAGACAAAATTTATATAAACAGAACGGGCAAGTGAAAGACAGAGATAAGAAATTAGGAAACTTGTAATAAAAGAACATGGAAAGGAAGATATATATATATATATATATATATAATATATATATATATATATAGTTTACAAGCTGACTTCACAGTGGTCGATTATGGAAGTGTTAGGCAGCAAACAGCATCAAGTGGCAGGGCAAATATCTTCCAAACTGCAGGAAAGAATGCGTGAGATTTGACTTTATAACAAGTCTCTCAAAAATTAAAGCTGGCTCCTTGTATAACAAGCAATCTTCAGGTGGATTTGAGATCAAATTGATTGTAAATGAACATGTTAGCGGGTGAAAAAATGGCTCTCGTAGAAAATAAGAAAAATATATTAATATGTCTACATATTCATTAGTGATTAATGACCAAATTCTTTTATAGACCCAGGTTAGATAAGAATTTCTTTGTGAAAGACGGTACCTTTTCCCCAAGCAGTCAATGATGTCACCAGTGACAGTTGATCTCTTCTTACTCAAGAAAGCAAGGGATGCTGCCTTCCTCATCAAGGCAGAGCCAGCAATGCATCCCAAAACTGTTGGATTTTTACAACTGAAATAATGGCATGGTTTGGAACATAACTAACAATGGAACATTAGCCAGCATAAAACAATATAGTGGAGTTACGTAATGACGCAGAACCTGAGGTTTGGATTTTCACCAGCAGTTTGAACATGTTGGCGGGACCATGATAAAAAGACAGCAACACTGTACCAATAAAAAATATTCTTTTATGCTAAAAGTTCCAAAAATTCAAACAGAACAAGTTTAAGAAATTATGATATTTTCATTATTTAGTTTGCTGGATAGTCTTTTGTACCAAAAAAAAAAAAGTGTTTGCTTGATAGTCACTACAAGATCAGTATCCCATGGCTACAATGCAGAAACAAAGTACTAGGCATGGCACCAGAAAAGCAGGGTCTCTGGTCAGTACATTGTCATTGGTGAATTCTTAACATATTAACTGTTCCAACAACTTAGTGCTTCCTTGGGATTACGACTAAGATCCTCAAAAGTACTTATTCGAGACAAAACTCCCCTCATATACTTGTCTTGTATTCCGTAAATTATGATTGAAAAGCTACTTCTAAAAGATTCTATCGCCATTGCAAATAAGTCCTTAACCAAATGGTTGACAGTTGACAGGACCCAAGAAGGCGTTGGGGAATCCCCTTTTATAATAATAGTGCACTATCAAGAAAGAATTGCTCTTCTTAAGGAACACCCTAAGCATCTCATACCACTTAGTCCTTATTACTGGTCTGACTCAACAACAAGCTAACAACACAGTGTTTGTGTGTATTTAGTTTTTGTACTCCAAGAAAAAGATAGATGCAGAATATTAAGGAATAGTAAGAGTTATACTTGCCTTCCAGAAAGGATATCACCCTGGCCACCACAGCGTCTTGGAGAACCGTAGATGCTCACTGACTTAACTGTACGGAAAAATGAACATGTTAGGGGGTGAAAAAATGGCTCTCGTAGAAAATAAGAAAAATATATTAATATGTCTACATATTCATTAGTGATTAATGACCAAATTCTTTATAGACCCAGGTTAGATAAGAATTTCTTTGTGAAAGACGGTACCTTTTCCCCAAGCAGTCAATGATGTCACCAGTGACAGTTGATCTCTTCTTACTCAAGAAAGCAAGGGATGCTGCCTTCCTCATCAAGGCAGAGCCAGCAATGCATCCCAAAACTGTTGGATTTTTACAACTGAAATAATGGCATGGTTGAAACATAACTAACAATGGAACATTAGCCAGCATAAAACAATATAGTGAGTTACGTAATGACGCAGAACCTGAGGTTTGGATTTTCACCAGCAGTTTGAACATGTTGGCGGGACCATGATAAAAAGACAGCAACACTGTACCAATAAAAAATATTCTTTTATGCTAAAAGTTCCAAAAATTCAAACAGAACAAGTTTAAGAAATTATGATATTTTCATTATTTAGTTTGCTGGATAGTCTTTTGTACCAAAAAAAAAAAAGTGTTTGCTTGATAGTCACTACAAGATCAGTATCCCATGGCTACAATGCAGAAAAAAGTACTAGGCATGGCACCAGAAAAGCAGGGTCTCTGGTCAGTACATTGTCATTGGTGAATTCTTAACATATTAACTGTTCCAACAACTTAGTGCTTCCTTGGGATTACGACTAAGATCCTCAAAAGTACTTATTCGAGACAAAACTCCCCTCACATACTTGTCTTGTATTCCGTAAATTATGATTGAAAAGCTACTTCTAAAAGATTCTATCGCCATTGCAAATAAGTCCTTAACCAAATGGTTGACAGTTGACAGGACCCAAGAAGGCGTTGGGGAATCCCCTTTTATAATAATAGTGCACTATCAAGAAAGAATTGCTCTTCTTAAGGAACACCCTAAGCATCTCATACCACTTAGTCCTTATTACTGGTCTGACTCAACAAGCTAACAACACAGTGGTTGTGTGTATTTACTTTTTGTACTCCAAGAAAAAGATAGATGCAGAATATTAAAGGAATAGTAAGAGTTATACTTGCCTTCCAGAAAGGATATCACCCTGGCCACCACAGCGTCTTGGAGAACCGTAGATGCTCACTGACTTAACTGTACGGAAAAACCCACAATTTACTGATATTCTAACATCAGCAAAATTGATATAATGTGAATATCCAATGATAGAGGTGCCATGTGCAAACAGAAAACGAACTCTCAAGCCACTGGCAACTGTAACAAGTTGCACCCAGGCAAGAACATGACTTTCCTGATTGGGTATGTGGAATAACTTGGGCATGACGAATGATATGGCATATGCAAATTAAACTAACAATCCTTAAGGCAGAAATTGCAGCAAAATAAGGAGCTCCTGTGTATTCACGACACCCTCCAACCACAGCAATCTTTCCTAATCGGTAATATAAAATCAGTGAAACATTCATTAGAATTTTCTTATTTTTCTCTGGGCGAAGAGAAAAGAAATGGGCTTTGAAAGCAGAACTTTCCAGAACTTTCCTTCTGGTTATAAATGGGGCAACTTAGTTTCTGAAACCTCTATTTTAAATTAGTTATCACTTCTTTGAAACTTAACACAACTCAGCCTAACCCTAGTCCCTTTGTCACAGGAAACAAAGGGAAAGAAAATTAAAAGACAGAATCTTGGCATGGAAACAGCAGCATAGATTGCAATAATGCTAAAAGGATTTTATCATATAGCTTCTCCTTAGAGGGAAAAACCAAAAACAATACCACCATCTTCATGGTTGCAAAATAAACAGGCTCACATGTAAAACAGGTAAGCAGCAAATAGAAGTAGTGAAAGGAATGCATATTTGTTCTTCTTTGTTCGGATTGTGAGGAATTAGAAGAATGTTACTTATACCTGCTTGGCCTTTGTATCTAGTGGGATCAAGGGCAGGAGTAATTGCTCTTACAATGCTCTCAGCATCCGCTTCAATAGACCTTGGATGTTGCATTTGCCTAAAATCAGTTGGGTGACCACTAGCAGCTCCCAAAGATCTTATCAGGAATTGTTGTCTTCTGTAAACAGGCGAAGAAGCCAACATAAAACTTCTTGCACAACCCAAGAAGGCTACCTGAGGAGTCATGCTATGTTTGATAAACATGATCAAAAGACAGCCCCTATCACAACCCAAGCAAGAATACTATTTAACCCTCCAGAATAGACAAGTTAAACACTCTACTTTCAGAAGCAGAAAGAGCAGCAAATGTTAAATTTCACTTCTACATAGAAAAGTTAAAACAAGAAATAACAAATTGAACCAGTAACAATCCAGGAGATTGATTCTCGTGGCGAACACCGAGACATGTTCCTCCTTTTTTCCCAGGGAAAAAAAACGAGGCATAATATTTTTATTTAAGAATGTTCGGAATACGAAAAATAACACATCAGTCGGTCTTAAGGAAAAACTGATGCCATAATCAAATAACTCAACACAAACATTACTAATGAATTGAATTCAAGTATCAGTATCACGAGGTATGGCCCTGAATTCTTCAAACATTAAAGCTTGAAAAACTCCAAAAAAAAAAAAAAAAAAGAGGTGATGGGAAGCAGGAAAGAGGTAAATGAATACTTTAATACCTGAAAAATAATCAAAACGGAAACCCTGAAAGCTTTTAAACGCCGCAGGGTCAATGCATCGAACCCACTGTTTCGAGAATCAGAGAGCTTCGGTAGTTTCCCTGAGAATTCAGAAATTGGAGAAGATGAGACCGCCCCGCTCTTTCATTTTTGTCTTTTCCCCAAAAAACTTAGAGAAAATGAAATAATAATAATAATAAAAAAGTTGAAAATTATAATATTCTAATTATAATTCTAATACGTAAGACTTCAAAATCGGGATTTTTATCAAAATGCTACACACAGTAAAATAAATTACCATGATGCTACACTATGAAAAGTATTTCACTACAAGAACGAGTTCAAATTTTCAAAGAAGTTGTTCAAGGAAAGAACAAGTTTCATGTTTGATATATATATATTTTTTAACAAGATTGAAACTCGTTCAAGGCATGAACGAGTTTAGCCTGTCAAAGAGCCTCAGTCCGCTTCTTCTTTTCTTCTTTCATTTCAGCAAAATTTACAAACAAAGACCCACACCATCAACACATTCTTCCTTTTTCTTTAGACTTCAGAGAGAATTGCAATTAATGACCCAACTCCTTCCCAATCCCAACCACCGCTTTCGTTTTTTTCCTTTGCCCTTCATTCTATATTTCCAAAAATATGAATCAATTTTACTTTATATCCTAATGATTAAATTTTAAAAAAATATATAAAATAAATTTATTGAATATAAATTATTTATCAATATGATATAATATATGCAAAATTTACACCTATTTAATATAGCCATTGGACAGATCGAAGGTCAAAGATTATGAGGGAATGAGTGGTATTAAAATTTATTAAAATTAAACACAAATAATTATGTACAACCGCCTTGTAGCATTCTTGTATATAAAATTTTTTTAAACAGAAATTATGTACATTTATGGAACAATTTATGGAAAAAAAACATAACATACAAGTGTTTGGTTTAAAATTTGCAAGTTTAAATTTAACCAAACATAAGTTTATTGAAATACTATTATAATTTATATTTGAATTGTTTTAAAAAAAAGTCAGTTTAATTTAGCATATTGCAACCTGTTTAGATATATGATAAATCAAAATATATCACTTTTAGATGTGTAATTATTAAATAGGGGTATAAATTTTAACAATATTCATAATCTAACTTTGAATTTGTCCATTAGCTAAAAATTAAACGTGTTTGAATTATTAATATAAATAAATGATCATTAAATCATGACAAGGCTGTCTTGATACATGCGGCATCTAAGTATATATTGTAAATATTTGTTTACAAGATATCATTTTAGCCGGTATCAATTTCTAAGTTTTTTCCAATATTTTTAAATGTACATAATTTCTGTAAAAAAAATTTTATATACAAGAATGTTATAAGTCGATTGTACATAATTATTTGTGTTTAATTTTAATAAATTTTAACACCATTCATTCCCTCATAATCTTTGACTTTTGTTCTGTCCAATGGCTATATTAAATAGGTGTAAATTTTGCATATATTATATCATGTTGATAAATAATTTATATTCAGTAAATTTATTTTATATATTTTTTTAAAATTTAATTATTAGGATATAAAGTAAAATTGATTCATATTTTTTGGAAATATAGAATGAAGGGCAAAGGAAAAAAATGAAAGCGGTGGTTGGGGAGGAGTTGGGTCATTTATTGCAATTCTCTCCGAAGTCTAAAGAAAAAGGAAGAATGCGTTGATGGTGTGGGTCTTTGTTTGTAAATTTTGCTGAAATGAAAGAGAAAAGAAGAAGCAGACTGAGACGTTCTGACAGGCTAAACTTGTTCATGCCTTGAACAAGTTTCGATCTTGTTAAAAAAAAATTATCAGACATGAAACTCGTTCTTCCCTTAAACGATTTCTTTAAAAATTTGAACTCGTTCTTGTGGTGAACGAGTTTGAGTATAGCATGTAAGGAAATACTTTTCATAGTGTAGTATCATGGTAATTTATTTACTGTGTGTAGCATTTTGATAAAAATCCCCTTCAAAATCCAAGAAAAAAAGGTAATGTATAACATGATCAGTTAAATGATAAAAATACTCTAGATTTATTAACAACTTATAAATTAATAATAACAAGTGTCGAAAAACAACTGGCAAAATATATTAAGAATGACAAGTTATATATTAATAAGTTATAAACTGATAATAATAAATATTAAATAGCTAGTAATAAGAAATATACTAATAATAATAAATTTGATAATTTTTGTCTTTTAAATTTGATACAAAGATATTCTAGTCATTTAACTATATCTGAAAATATTAGAAGAAAATTTTTTAGATGCTTAAATTAAAATATTGTAATTTTTAACTTTTTCTTTGTGTTATTTTCCCAAAAAAAATCAATTTTTTTTACATTTTTCTTATAAATCTAATGAGTTTTAAATAAGTTTTATTTTTTAAAAAATTTGCTATATATTCTATTCTTATGATTGAAGCAATAAATCTAAAAATAAAAAAAATCATAAAAAAGACTTTAAAATTAAAAAAATTATAAATAAGAATTTATTATAATATTAATATGGGTCTTGACATTATAAGGACAAAAATTTTGTAAGCAGGTTTTTAATTTTTAAAGTTTTTTTTTAATGATTTTCTCAACAACAGCAATTTCAAACATTTTTTTTGGGTCAAATAATAAATTTCAAACATTTAATTAGAGTGAAATTAGGGATCTTTACCGCCTCCCAGTCCTTACTCTTGCAGCCAAGAAGAACTGAGAAACGGGAGCACGGTGGAAGGTCGATGGCTCCTCCAATGTCTGATATGAAGATGAATGCGATAAGGTCAGGAATTGTGGTGCTGGGAGCCTTGGCTTTTGGCTACTTGAGTATACAGATCGGATTCAAGCCTTTTCTTGAGAAAGCTCAGCAGCATGCCCTCCAGCAATCTGATTCCCCCGCACCTTCTCAAGAATCTGCTTTCTCTGACTCTGATTCATAGACTCGTACGTCTTCTTTCACAGTGGGTATGTGTGGTGTGCGTTAACATATATATATATATATATATATATATATATTCGGATAGTGCGTTTGTGGGTGGACGTGTAACTTACTGTACTTGATCTAAGTCTGTTTGAATTGAGAGAAAGAAAAGCGAGGGAGAGCTTAGTATCCTGACTTAAGTTTCTCTGCCAGTCTAACTACAGTGATACGTTAATTGAGCGAAAGGAAGGCGACCCTTTTCTATTGGCTCTGCTGCGGAATCCTCAACAGCATTTGCAGCCGGAAACTTATTCAATCTCTTGAGACTAAGAGCATGCTCTGTCTGCGTTGCTTGTTGAATTGATATTTCGATTGTTATTTATTATGTGGAGCTCGAACAAAAGATGTCAATTTTTTTGGCCAATAAAATGAAGATGTCATGTCATGGTCCTGTTATCCTCCTTTGTTTTCAGAAGGGAAAGAATATGTGCTTGTTACACCCGGGGGGGGGGGGGAACTTGTTCTTCTTTCTCTACCCTTGTATTAAGTGGAATTAACTGTAGATAGGTTCTTGGTTGGGTGGGACTGTGGTTGTCTATGGATTATACCATGTTGTTAAGCTGAAAAGCAGGTAGTAAGTTGGTAGACTATCTATTTGTGTTATCTTACGATTTCATGTTTATATTCATTATGATAAAATAGCAGACACAAGATCGTCAAAATGAATCGATTGTAATTTTAAAGGATAATGCCTGGACGTAGCAGATATCAGCATTTTGATTCTGGCTCATGAGAAGGTCTTCAACGCTTGGTCAGTGAGTTATTGCTCCAAGACACGATCATAGATTCTCTATGCAGGGCATATGTAACATATTGAACAGAGTTTCCTGTTGGTTACATTTTTGGGTAGTGTTCTCGCTAGCTGTTTTTCTCCTGGGGCACTAAAGCGCTTGCCTCTCCTCATCAAATGAATGCATCATCTCTGTTTTAATGAGGAGTTGAATTGTGTCCACTCAAAAAAAGAAAAAAAAATAGAGGAGTTGAATCGTGAGAAACATGTTCTTCTGTATCCATTTCATTTATATTTGTCTCCACATAGGTGGTGTTGCATGTGTTCATCCTTGTTGTTTTTCTTGACCCTTCATCCTCCTCCTCGCTTGTCTTTATCATCTATTGATAGTACATATTGAAACTAATTTTGATTGAATTCGTCGTCAATACTTCACCTTTATTTATTTCCCATAATATGTATACTGCAAGAGTCATAACTTCAGGTACTAGTTTTTCTTTGAGAATAAGATAACTTCCTAATTACTTAACATCGATAATTCTCAAGTCCTTGTTTATTTAAATGTGCATCTATTTTATTTTTTATTTTCTTTCTTTCTTTTTATTGCTGAAATGACAAGTAGTGTATGTTGTTCGTTAATCTTTAAGTTCTGTTGGGACATTTTCTAGATTTGGTTACTTTAGATTGAATTTCAGTGTAAAGGTAATACACACAGTAAACCGATTTCGTCCCCAATAAATCTCCTCCGTTTGATGGAGTAAAATGAAAATTTTGATTATGATGTGGAAGGAAGAGGTTGGTCTGGAAGACTCAAGGCTTGTGTGGGTGGTACGTGCAATGTACCTTCAGTAGTAATGTTGAAGCAATAAATAATAGTATCTTTAGTTCTAAATATAAGGCCTACTTTGTAGTATTATTGAAGCAAACCACGAGCTAAATGCTATCCTGAGAGAGGTGTGTATTCAGCGACTCAGGTGTTTGCTGAATTGATGAGCTTGGGTCTCGAACAGAACACGAAGGCCCGCATTTTCCTCATGACTATTTGCTAACTATCCATACCCTTCACCAATAGGCCACTAGCCCACCACCTAGTAGCTTATGCGGGGTCTGCGAGAAGTTTTTGTCACAAATGATGCATCTGGATTTGTAGGTTATCCATAAAATGATAGATGGAAAATACCTTACTTCTGATGTATTCCTTTTCTTTATTCTGGCTGACGAGGTGTTCTAGTTCATCATAATCTAAGCCTCAGTTTTAGCTAATTGTATTATTTATCATAAGCTCGTCTTGCTTTTGTCCTCCATAATTGTGCGACTGAGTAAGTCTGTGCTGAAGTAAAAGGAATCTGTTTGGAATGAACTGCTTTATGCTCTGTTCCTAAA